TGAGCCACTGCACCAGCTCAGATATTATTATTATTATTATTATTATTATTTTTTGAGACGAGGTCTCACTCTCACCCAGGCTGGACTGGAGTGTAGTGGTGCAATCTTGGCCTCTGGGGGTTCAAGTGATTCTCGTTCCTCAGCCTCCTGAGTAGCTGGGACTACAGGCACATGCCACCATGCCCAGCTATTTTTTTTTGCATTTTTAGTAGAGACGGTGTTAAGTCCTTGGCCAGGCTGGTCTCAAACTCCTGGTCTCAAGTGACCTGCTCGCTTTGGCCTCCCAAAGTGTTGGGATTACAGGTGTGAGCCACTGCACCTGGCCCCAGGTCAGATAGTCCTATAGTCTTATTTCCAGATGAAGAACTGAGTACAGAAAAGGAAAAATTAAAACTATTGAAATTTAAAAAGAGATCATTAATAAAGAGGAACAAACTACTGATACATGCTACCACATGGACAAACCTCAAAGACATGGATCACATCTTGTAGAATGTTATTTATCTGACATATGTAGAAAAGGCAACTCTATAGAGACAGATCGTAGATTAGGGGTTGTCTGGGGCAGGGAGTAGAAGTGGGGTTGATGAAATATTCTAAAACTGGTTTATAGTGTTGTTTGCATAACTTGGTAAATTTACTAAAAACAATTGACATGGGTGAATTATATAATATGTAAAATATTCCTCAATAAAGTTGTAAAATAAAGAAATGCAATTACATTCTGCAAATATAACATTTCCTAAGCAGCCATGATCCACTTTACGGGAATTTCTCTAGTAACTAACGGTTCATTCATTTGTTCACCTGAACTCATCTTCATTGAGCACCTATTATGTGCCAGGTTCCATGCCAGGATGTGGGTTCCAGGGTGAATCTGATCAAGTGTTTCTGCTCTAATGGAGAATATGGGTTAGCAAGTGTTAGAAGGCTGGGCTAGAAGGGGTGGAGATGCAGACGAGAAATCCAGCAATGACAAGCGAGTATACTTGGGGCCTGCCACAGGGTGGGCAGTGCTGGCAGAGCCTGGAGGAAGCACCTTCCACCCAGACCTGGCAGGTACTTGAGAAGGTTCTGAGAAGAGAAGTTCTGAGAAGAGAAGGTTCCGAGAAGAGAAGTTTCTGAGAAGAGAAGGTTCCGTGCTTGAGGCTGGGACCTGAAGGATGAGGAGTCGTTAGCAGGTGAAATGGCTGGGGAGTGGGGCAGGAAGAATAAAAGTCATTTGTTCATTCATTTCTTAATTCTTTTATTCATTCATTCAGCAACCTTTCATTGAGAGCCGTTATGCCCATTTCCCTGATGAGGAAATAGAGCCTCAGAGAGGTAAAGTGACTTGCTAGAGCACAGATACAAACCTTAGCCAATCTCTTGTTTTAAAAGTCCACTTTTTCCCACTCTCTCCTCTTGCCTCCAAAAAGAGTCTGGGCAGGTTAGACACACCGCTGTGACTTTGAGGGTCAGGGGGAGGTACCCTGCCAAAAAACAAAACCTAGTTATCCTTGTTTAGTGAGAGGAGGTTGGCCTGACCCTCAGGGATGTTCCTTTGTCTGTTGGAACCCTCCCCCTGCTTTGAGGACCCATCTTTAGCCCCCTTTGGATCTCGAATCAGGGAGCCAGAATGCCAGCATCCAGGGTTAAGGGGAGGAAACCACTGAATTCATTGTCTGGGCCAGGGAGGACCTACCATTCGAAAGGGAATGGGACCAGAATTCTAGACCAGGCTTTGCTACCAATTATTCGGGTGACCTGGGTTAGTCCTTACCTTTCTGTGGTCCTCAGTTTTCTGGTCCCCAAAACAAGAGCCTTGGGCTGGCTGCATCCTGAGCTACAAGACTTCTGGCCTCAGATGCCTCCAGATTGATAGGGGCTGGAAGTAGGGTGACACATTCGTTCTGATTTGCTCGTTCAGATTTACTTTCCAGGTTTTAGCATCAACATAAACCTTCTCAGTCCCTGATAAATTGGGATGGTTGGTCACCCTAGCTGGAGGACTGTTAGGTTAACCTCGCCTCACGTTTTACCCACCAAGTCAAGACACGCAGCATCTCGTCTTTACTCCTATGTGGCCACGGAACTATTTTCTAGCCATTTTGTTTGTACGTATCGTGTTTCTAGGGCTCAGCTGAAAACCCTCTCAGGTCCAGCTACCACTTCCCTCAGTTCCTTCAGATCTTCTGGGCTCTGCTTGACCATCTCCTTTCCCCTATCCCTGCACCCCCTCCCATTCCTCAGGATGGTCTTTTTTAGTTGTCTCCATCAGCTCCCCTGGAACCCCTTTAGCTCCTTCCTCTGCATTTAATGCAGGATCTGTGCTAGAGCAGGTGCTCCACAAGTCATCATGGAAAGTCTGAATATCTCCAGGGCCCAGGGCAGGGCTGCCCCCACCCCCCAGGAGGGCTTCACACCCCAATTCCAGGGCAACTTTGTTGGCAGGACAGATCCTTCCTGGAAGAGGTTGCAGGGAGCCACTCCCCAGGTGTGACTTCTTAACCCTTTGTCTTCCATGGGACCACTCAGGCATTGGGTGGAGCCTGTGGACCCCTTCTCAGAATAATTTTTTTACAAAGGCACTAGGATTACAATGAAAAATCAGTTTACTAAAATAGATATCAAAGTATTAACAATTTGTCATATAGTGATATATGTTCTCCTTTACTAATATATTAAATAAGATTTAGTGGTGGATCTAATATGACTTTAATTTCACAGTTCTGGTAGCTTAGATGATATCTTGAGATGTTTACAGTAACTGTAGTGTGTTATGTAAATACCTGTGATTTCTACTAGTGACAAAATCACAGGGACATCTACTTGCTGTCTACATTCATAATCAAAGGATATGTTGAAAACCATTGGACGGGCACGGTGGCTCACGTCTGTGATCCCAGCACTTCGGAAGGTCGAGGTGGGTGGATCACCTGAGGTCGGGAGTTCGAGACCAGCTTGACCAGCATAGAGAAACCCCCATCTCTACTAAAAACACAAAAAATTAGCCAGGCATGGTGGCGCATGCCTGTAATTCCAGCTACTTGTGAGGCTGAGGCAGGAGAATCGCTTGAACCCCTGAGGTGGAGGTTGTGATGAGCCAAGATCGCACCGTTGCACTCTAACCTGGGCAACAAGAGTGAAACTCTGTCCCGAACAAACAAACAAACAAACAAACAAACAAAAAAACCATTTAGAGATTAGTGAGGATAAAGATAAAACTTTTGTCCACCCCTGTGTCATGAACTCCCCAGAATTCTATCCTCAGTCTTCTTGGGGGTCCATGAACCTCTGCTTCAAGGCAAAGGGGTTTTGATTCTTTAGGTTAGATAAACAAGAACATCCTCAAGAGATGAGAGAATGAAGAGTAAAGGGCAGTGTCCAGACTGGGTTGGGTTAAGCAGAGAAAGGTTTCTAGATGGGTGAGTTTCAGAGCTGGGTGTTTAAGGTGAGTCCGTGTTGGCAGGAAGCAAGGAACTGCGGTTGAGGGAAGGAACTATGGGGAGGGTTTGCTTTTATGGCAAAATCAAAAACACAGCAGACTAACATCATAGCCACATCACTCCAGGGCAAGCCCGTGTCTCCTTTGTCACCAACAACACCAAGGCATTGTCCATGTAAGACAGTGTGCCTGTCCTCAAGTTTACATACAAAGAGACAAAACAAACACAAAAGTTAATAACAAGACAAAAATTAAATTGCAATTTAAAAAATTCAGTCGGAAGAATCTGAAACATGCCACATATCTGGTTAAGTGCATACAATACAAGCCACAGGCGTTCACAGGTGGGGGTCACCTCCCCTCTGAGGTTTGCGGTGAGGACCAAATGCGGGAATGGACACGAGGCCAGCTTTGTGGAAGGCCCGTTAGAGTATGCACTTTGGACCACTGCGGCTACTTAACGTCTCAGTGACCTTCTCTGTAAAATGGGGATAATAAATAAGTATGGTGTCTGACATATACTGATGTTTGCAACATGATTCAGGAGACAACAGAGACTGGAGAACTTGGCCTTTAACGTGGTAGGTGTGAAAACATTTGATTGAATGAACGAATGAATGAATGGGTCCTCGGGTTGCCTTGGTCTGCCCCAGGCTGCCCGCTAAGCCCCAAGTCTGTGAAATGAATCCCCAGCTCTCGGGGTCAACTTCATCTCAGCGTGTGGGTGTGGGTGGTGGGGAGGTGCTCAGCAGCTCAGTGGAGGCCAGGCCCAGGCCGAGTTTGTGGGTGTCATCCCGGGAGGGTCTTGCTCAGCCTCCCCAACCCCCATGCTGCTCGGCGCCTCAGTGGGCGGGGGAACCGGCGGGCTTGGCGGTGCCCGGGTTGATCTCGGGAGGACGAGGCCCGCAGCTAGCGTCCGAGGAGCCCACCCGTGGGTCCGCAGCGTGAAGGACGTGCCGGCCTAGGCGCCGCCTTATCCCCGTAAGGTCGATCTGGGCCTCCCCAGGCTGGAGTGGGGGTGGGGCGCCGGTGCACCTTCGGATACTGTGATCCCCCAGCCCTTCCAGCCGCGGTCGCCCACATCCGAAGGAATTTGGGGCCAGGGGCATTCGGGGCGGAGAGGACAGAGAAACGGAGCCCTCTCGGCAGGCGACGAGGGAGAGCAGCGCCCTAAAAAGTGGAAAGCAAGCGTTGCCGAGGCTGCTGGCCCCTTTAAGAGGCCCGGCTGGCTCTGCGGCGGTTCCAGCTAACTCGGTCCCTGGTGCGGCTCTGCGGTCCAGGTCCCCCAGCAGAGAATCGGCACCCGGCGGGGAGGCAGGACCAGACGCAGGAGAGGGCGTGGCCCCGCCGGGGAGCTGGGCGGAGTCTACGCTGCGGCGAAAGCGGGAGAACCCGGCGGTGGGCGGAGCCAAGGGTCTGTGGGTGGGGCCCGGCGCTGCGGGCCTCGTGGGGCGGAGCCTCTGGCTCGGGGAACGCCGCAGAGGGAGGAGGGGTGGGCGGGGCCGCGGCGAGGGCGGGGCCAGTGTCTGCAGTGGGCGGGGCCCGCCGCAGAGTGGGCAGTGCCGGCCGAGAGTCCTCTGCGTGCGGCTGCCGCGGCCCCTCCACAGCGTCTCTGACAGCCCGGGCGGTGCGACCCGCGACCCTTCTGGCCCCGCGCAGATACCGCGGCCTCTACCGCATCCTGAGGAGCGCCCGAGTGCCCTCTCTCGCCTCGGCGCCCGCATCCGGGGCCATCCGTCCCGCCGTCGCTGCGGAGGCCGCATCTGGCGCGCATCTGGAACCACCCGGCCGGCCGCGCTGGAGCCCGCGCCCACCCTGGCCCGGCCGCGCCGGGAGCCCTGCCCGGAGCTGGAGCCGCACCTGGAGCCGCGGGCCCGGGGCCCTGAGCCGCGCAGCCGGCGCATGGTGAACTCGCTGCTGTTCGGGGAGATGGCCTTGGCCTTCGGCTGCCCGCCGGGCGGCGGCGGCGGGGGCTGCCCTGGCGGGGGCGGCGGCGGCGGCGGGGCCGGGCCGGGTCCGTCGCCGGTGACGGCGGCGCTGCGGGACGACCTGGGCTCCAACATCCACCTCCTGAAGGGGCTCAACGTGCGCTTCCGCTGCTTCCTGGCCAAGGTGCACGAGCTGGAGCGGCGCAACCGGCTGCTGGAGAAGCAGCTGGAGCAGCAGCAGAGCGAGCGCGAGCGGCGGCTGCGCTACAAGACCTTCTCCCGCGAGCAGGCCGTGCAGACCGGGCCCGAGCTGCTGCGGCCCCCGGCGCCCGGCGGCGGGCACGGCCTCGGCAGCGGCGCGGCGGCCGGCGTCAACGCTAATGCCGTGGCCCTGGGCGGCCTGCCCCCCGGCGGCGGCTCGCACCCGCAGCACTACGGCCGCCTGCCCGGGACCATCTGGAGCTACACGCAGGTGCGGCGCACGGGCGGCGGCGGCGTGGAGACAGTGCAGGGCCCCGGCGTGTCGTGGGTGCACCCCGACGGCGTAGGCGTGCAGATCGACACCATCACGCCGGAGATCCGCGCGCTCTACAACGTGCTGGCCAAGGTGAAGCGCGAGCGAGACGAGTACAAGCGGAGGTGAGTGGCCGCCCCTCCCCCGCCGCCCTGGGAGGGGGCGCCCAGGTCCAGGCTGCCGCGGAATGCGTGTGCGGGACGGGGGCCGGGCGGGCAGCTGGTCTTGGCAGGTGGGCTGGAAGCTGTGTTTGCAGAGTGCCTTACACATGCCAGGAAGGCCCAATTATCTAGATCCCAGGATGGGGGTGGGCGCTGGCTACCGTGGGGGCCACCTCGATGCCGTCACTGGTTAGGCACATTGTTTTCTAGGTGACATAATAACTATCTGTGTTTTATGTGATCTCATTTAATTCTCAGCACAATACAGCGTGTAAGGCAGACTTATCCTCATCTTATAGATGGGGAAACCGAGGTGCAGAAATGCTAAGTGACTTGCCTAAGGTGGCGTGGCGAAGGAGTTGTGAAACCAGGATTTCAATCAGAGATTTTAACCACTCCTGGCTAGTCTGTCTCCTAGCATAGGTATTTTTTCCCAAGGAAGTAGGAAGTAGGCTCCCCTCCCTCAACAGATGAAAAGAAAAACTCTAACCAACCCACTGCCTTTTTATTTCTTGAATTAAATGAGATCATGTGTTTGAAAATGGATGGATCTGCCCCTGCCCCCTGGGGCCAGTGTCTGCCGTCTTGCTCCAGCTCTGTAACGTCCAGCTTGCTGGGTTGGATAACCACAACTATAGCAGACTGCTCACAAGCTTTTATAAAATGCCTCCTTTCATCCCTCTTCTCCCCACTCCCTGAGTTTCATGGTTTATTGAGCCCTAACAAACTCAGCCTTAAAAATCCCCAGGAGAAGATAATGTTGGGCTGGAGACTGGACATTGAATGGACTGAGACCACCATCTCTGGCTAGAACTGGGGTCCAGACTCTGCAGGACTGGCCAGTGCATTCCTGCCCAGCTCAGATTCCCCAGCTGGGAAACTGTCATTGCTTCCTGCCCGCAGTCTGGCCAACAATACTGTCTGCTTGGCTTTCTGATGAGAGGAGAGGGGTCTCCTATCCTCCTCCTCTTCCCATAAGGGTAGAGGGGTCTGTCTTTGGCATCTCATACCCGGCTGGGGGAGGGGCCCTCTGGCCCTGGCAGTCGCTGTTCCAGGCACGGGCAGCCTTCCACTGGGAGTTATTGGCTCTGAACTCCAGGGCTTGGAGGATGTACTGAGAAGGACCCTTCCTTCCATCTCTGAAGGTCTGCCCAGGGAGCTGGGCATAGGTCTCCTTCCTTATTCTCCCATTGGACAGGCTAGCAACTGGGTAGGATTCAAATGCCAGCCTTATACCTGCTGGTGAGATTATCAAACCACTTGAAATCCTGTTTGCTCATCAGAGAAATGGGAATAATAAAATCTGCCCACAGTTGCTTGAGGGGAGAGCAGGACGGTGATGCTCTTCGGAAGGCATAAAGTAATCAAGCTGATGTTACTGAAGATGATAGGCACTTTGTCAAGCTAGCGGGGAGTAGAAACGCTGAGGGTCCTCAAGCTCTCTCATGCAGCGCCTAGCTTCCTGGGGGTAGGTCTTACACTCCACTGGGAGCTGGGCTTCTCTCCTGGGTTACCTCTTTCTCTGGAGGTACTTGAGAATGGCCCACCTGGTGCTTTGCCACATAGAGGCCACCTCTCCGCCCCTCATGGTCAATGTCACTGGGGCAGGCTAGGGAAACAGGCACTTGCTCTCGATGGTGAAACTGGGGAGGGATGGGCCGGGCCCTCCTGTCTGCCACTGTTGATCGTGTCGTCATGCCTCAGGCTTGTGTTATGTTTGTTTTATTGTGTGTATGCTTTTTGGACCTGGCTACTAAGGGGATGGGAAAACCGTGCCCAGTCTTGGAGGGAGATGGGTTGGCATTGAGCAATGCTCTATTCAAGTTGCACCCAGGGTGTGGGGTGTGATGTCAGCTTCTGGTGCTGGCCTGGAATGAGGCGGTGCTGCTGAGACAGGTGGAGTGCGGGCGTCTCTCTTCCCGCCCTTCTGGGATGCGCGCACACCTCTTCTTCCATGTTGTTTCTGAAGTTGACTCAAGACTTACGTTGAATTTTTCCAAAGCAAGTATACTCCTTTCCTGGAGCCTCAGTTTCCCCATCTGTGAAGTGAGGTAGGTGGGCTAGAATTGTAGTCCTTGAAACCCCAGGCTTTCTTAGAGATGCTTTGGGGTTCCTTGAATATCTAATAAAAATGATCATTTAAAATAACATTAAGACATTAATACAGTGATAAAAATGTGCTCACTCACCTTTAAGTTCTTAATATTAACTCACTGGGTTCCACTAACACCCTAACTTGTTAATAGTATGTTTTGGGTACCTCCTAAGAATTTTCTTTGGGAAGGAGGGCAGACATTTGATAAACATTTTTTAAAAATTTGAAAAACCACTGGGCTAGATGATCTCAAAGGGTCTTCCCAGCCTTGGCAATATATAAATCTGAGTTTGAGCTCCCAGCCCGCTTCTGATCACCTGGCCATAAGAGAAGTCACCATCTAAGGGATGAGACCCAGGTGTCTGCCTGTACTGTTGTGGCCACAAAGGGTTTTAAATCATCCTAGGATGTCTATCACAGAACTCCAAGCAGTGACACCCAGAAGGAGCCTAACCCAGAAGGGAAAGGTTCCAGGGTTTCTCCTGGTCCACCTGGAGGAACCTGCAGCTCCAGAGACCCCCACTTGCTTCCCCAAAGGACAATTTGGGATGTGAAACTCAGCGATCTTCAAGCCGGAGGCTTGTTGAGTTCCACCTTCATGATTTCTGGCCACGTCCACGTACTACCACCTGTGCTATTGCTTACATAAAATATTTTAACAACTTCATTGAGGTACAACTTACACATCACAAAAGCTGCCCATTTTAAGTGTACAAGTCAAATTCACAGAGTTGTGCAGTCATTACCACAATTCCGTTTTAGAGCATTGCATCACCCCCCAAAAAGATCCTTCATGTCCATTTACAGAAAATTCCCATTCCAAGACCAGCCCAGGTAATCACGGACCTGCTGTCTTTCTAGAAATTGGCCTTTTCCGGACATTTCATAGAAATAGAATCATACACTCTGTAGTCTTTGTGTTTGGCTTTTTTCAGTTAGAGAATGTTTTTTTGAAGTTCATCCATGTTGTAGCATGTATTCGTAGGCTGTTCCTTTTTATAGCAAAAAATATTCCTCTGTAGTGTAGCCCATATTTTGTTTATGAATCCACCCAGGCATTCAATATATTTTAAATTTAAAACGTCAACCGTATACCACCTAGCGTCATCTCATGTGCCATCAGTGGTCCACGAACCGTGCTTTGGAAACACCAACCCAAACCAGAGACCCTGGCCTGGGGTGCCTGGGCCCTGGCCCCAGTCACCACTGCTTTGGTTTTCCCTTGGCCCAACCAGGTCTTTACCACGTGGGAAATGTGGTCGCTGAAGCCGCAATGAGGACAAGATTGTCAAGCGTTGATTTGGAAACCAAAACAAACATCTCTACTCTGTCACCACCCAGGGCCACTAAAATATCCTGTTCTGACTTTGCAAGCTGGGGGCTTTTCCCTGGAGATTCCCACTGAGTTTATCTGAACTCAACAGTGGAGAGTTCCCTGAGTTGGCATCCAGGAGACCTGGACTTTAGGTCCAGCTCTGCCACTGGGTGCTGTGTGACCTCTGGCCAACCGCTGCCCTCTCTGGGCCTCAGATCCTCCACCTTTACATGCAGGAGTTCCTGTAGGTGAGCTCTCTCAGCTCGCTCTCTACTTGAGGTCTGTGACTCCAAGAGGCTCGCGTCGTGGCTGATGTTTCTGCCTCTGGAGACCACAGTGTGTTCGCTGAAGCCTTTCTCTGTTCTGGGCTCCCCCTTCCCTCTCTTGTCTCTGCCCCAGATGACTAGGGTCCAGGCTCCAGGCATGGGCAGTACTGGTCATCCCATCCCCCGGCTTAACTGGTTCAACCGTGTCCCCTCTCTTCATTGGCTCCAAGGAAGGACGTGGGAAAGCTTTCAGGTTGTCAAGAAAAAGGTCCCTCCAGCCTGGCAGCTGCTGCAAAGTTGCTCTGGGCTGGTAGAGGAAGTTGCCCTGTGCTGGAGGAAGTTGCCCGGCATGGTAGTGCTGGCCTAGCTGCCTGTCAGACAGGGCGACTCTTTTGGGGGCCTGGTGCCCCTGTCCAGAAGCCTGTCCAGCCATCCTGGCCCCCTCAGGCCCAGTGTGATTTGCAGCTGGCTGGCCTTGTTCCTTCCCATGCGAGGGGCTGAGTGTATGCGCCCCCCAGTTGAAGTCAGCCTGGAGGCTAGGTTTCTTTTTTCCTGGTGCCTGGGGTGATTGGAGGGTGGTTTGGGAGCCTGGAGAGACCACTGTGATCATTCAGCCTGGTGGTTTTCAAGTGGGCTCTTTAGAGCCCTGGAGTCCATAGCAGGGCGCCTTGGGAGACTTCGGGGACAGTGGGAGGCTGAGTACCTGAGATTTGACCCATGTTGCCCATCGTAACTCCATGCTTCTCTGACTCCCAGATTGTCCGAAAAAGATTCCATTTTAAAAAGTGTTCTACAGTTTTTGAAAAGAAAGAAACTGCTGATTCAGCTGAGTGCTTTCATTTTAAAGGTGGGGAAACCAAGGCCCAGAGGGGGCTGGCCCTCTGTGCCGAACTGGGCAGATCTTCCATCTGCTGCGCAGAGCTGGCCTCCCCACCTCGACGTGTTGCCCGCATCATCTTCCCGCAGTTGAGGCTTTGTTATGTTCTTTCCATCTTTTTGTGTGTCTGTTTTAAACATTTTTTTAAAAAGCCACTTTCTGGGATGGGAGGGACTTTTGTCACAGCTATTTCTGACTGTGAGCCGGAAGGGGCTGGGCTGTCGGCCGGAATGAAGGACTCCAAAAAGGGATGGTGGGTGGGTCAGCTGGAGTGTCCCCTGCCCGTTCTCGTCACACCCCAGGGGGGCCCTCAAGCAGGTGGGTGCTGGCCCCTGAATGTCCCAAAGCTCGAATGCTGCCCTGGAATAGAAAGCTGAGGGCTTTGTTCCCTGCCACTCCCATTGACACTTT